ATCCTTAGCCACAGAGCCACCGCTCCACCCCAAAATACAGTGTGTCAGGACTGAGATTCGAACCCACTCCTCCAGGGGAGACTGCGACCTGAACGCAGCGCCTTAGACTGCTCAGCTATCCTAACTAAGTGCCACAGGTACCAGGGGGTTTAAGCTTTGTCATCCACTGTCCCCTTCAGCTTGAACAGTTACACAAGCTTCTCTGGCAGCTGCCTCTGGAAGACAAAGCTTAGGCAAGTGAATTGACAGGTGAGACCTTGTACACTTTCTAAGGTTTGTAAAGGTCAAATTTAATGTCTGACTTATTTAGAATGAACCAATGAGGAGTTTATCTGCTCATGGTAATTCCCAATGTCCTTATCAAACAGACCTTAATATAATTATTTCTAGATCAATATATAAGATATTCAATGGGGTATGTACTGTATGCAGTGGTTTGATTTATTTTCTTTTAAGGTTTATTTTTAGTGCCATAGCTTAAGGTGACTAGCATGGCGTTTGGCGTCGATTTGCCATGTTTTTAAAGCAGATTTAGGCATTTTTTTAAAGCAGTCTTTTTTCAAGAAATTGCTAGATAAGATCCTTTGATCAATTGATTTCAGCTGTTACTAGTAACCAAACAAATTAAAAGCACCAAATGACTTTCACTTGTTTGTTGCCTTTATCATAAACTTGTGCCTATTTGCACCACCAACCCAAAGAAGGGTTCAGGCTGGGTGTGTGTGACCTACTGTACTGCAGTTGCCACTTTACAGCTCTCCTTTGTCTACAATGTCTACAAGTGCTACACAATACCCCTTTTTAGTATAACTTGTGGGAGGCATGGTGATGCAGTGTTATTATTACTGCCTTGTAGAGCTGGGGCCTGGGTTCAAGTCTGCACCTGGGCTGCTGAAGTTTGTATTTTGTCCTTGTGTTTGCGTGGGTTTCCTCCAGGTGTTCCACTTTCCTCCAGCAGTTAAAAATCATACTGGTAGTTAATTGGCTTCTGGGAAAATTGGTCCTAGGCATGAGTTTGTGTTTCTGTGTGACTGTGTTTGTGTCTGTACTATACATGTTCTACAATGGACTAGTGTCCCATCCAGGGTGTATCCTGCCTTGCGCCCAGTGCTTGCCGGGATGGTAACCTGTTACACTGCGACCAGAATTGGAAGAAGCAGTTAGGAAATGGATGAATGGTAAAACTACAATGCACCTGACATATGTATATATTATTTCCATTAAGAATGGGTGCTTAAAATTTTACTTTGTGTTGTCTCAATACGTTAAATCCTCATTGAAAAATCCAACAGAAAAGTCCAATTTAAACAAGACTAACAAAGGGTTTATTAGCTAAATAAATTCAAGAAATGTTTTTTTCAACATCATACGGCATCATCATACAACATTGATTTCCTGTTGTTCCTGTTCTGCTTTATAATCGTTTATTGTAGCTTACGCACATTAAAATGCAGTAAAACACATTGAAAGCATGGTACAAATATGGTACATATAGAAAATAATAACATGGTAAGGCATGGCACAAAACACCAAGGACAATCCAATGTACTGTATACAGTAAACACAGGAAAATCAGGGAAATCTGTAATATAATCTAATAATTATTTGCAAATTTACCATGCAATACTTTTCTCTAATCACAAATACGCCTGGAAAATGTGAGAACAGTAAAAAAATCTTAGAATATTACAAGTATGTTTAGTACTATCAAGATCACCATAATAACATATGGAAAGATGAGTTATCAGTAATCAAATATTCTTCCTGATTAAGCTGCTGTATTTAAAGAGTTATATTACCCTTCACAATTGTTTTAAAAAAGCCTGAATCTTCACAGTTTAACAATTGGGTTCAGTACAGTATGTGTTGGAACTGAGGAAGTGAGAGGTGTCCAGTTAAAAAAATAACAACTGGTTGATTATTATGTCAGAGTCCACCCGCCTCCAGTTAACAACAATAAGACAAAATGGCTTTATGAGAGTCTTGGTTTCGCCCAGTAAAGTGCAGCGTTGTAATGTGTCACCCGTGAACAAACAGATTTACGTGACTTTGTGTCAAAGTGCAGAACCACTCTGCATCCATAAGCTTCATTTCCATTTGCAATAACAAAGCAGATTTGCATAGTTACATTTGCACCAGTAATTTGCAGTCCCAGACCTGACTAACAACATCAGCTTTCAGGCCTAATCTTGAGATTTAAATGACATACCCAGTGGTCAACGGCTTGATTTCTTCTTACATATACAGTACATGCAAATATGGCCCAGTCAATGAACCATGACATAAGCTGCAGGCAACTGTATCACCATGTTGGAGCTTTTACAAATCCATATCAAGATATCACTTTTATAATTTCAGAGGCATATAATGGCCTTATTATATTATAATATAATAATATTATTAATATAATATAATGGCCGATGCTCTGCTGTACACCCATGATAGCAAAACAGATTAGCAACACATATATGTAAAATCTTGATATATGTTTAAGGAAATTAGTCTAGATTTAATGTATTGCTTGGCTGGATGCCTCAGATGTTCATTAAAGGCTGAAGGGTCAAGGGAAGGCTGTGTCTGTGTGGTGAGGCTATCCAAATCCTTCATTTTCATCAACAGGAACAAGAATTAGTTAATGAGGTTAGGCACTGATTACCTGAAGGGTGATTTTTGAATAATGCACATGCATTGATTAATGGAAAAGACAGTCTGTTCACAAGAACCGAGGAAGATTTATATTAATACAAGCAGCGGAACTGTAATAAAGTAATTGACTTGCTGGTGCAATGAAATATGAAAAAAAACAAGATTAGTGACCTTTTAGCATTAATTACATAAATGAATATGTAGTTCCCAAGCCTGATCCTGAGGGCTACCACACCTGCAGAGCTCTTTACTTACTTGAACTAATATTGTATTATTTTCTGTTTGAAAGTTTGAGATTTTAAGTTATGACTCATAGTCGTTAAAAGGTAATCTTCAAAATGTTTGAAAGAAATTAAAGAATTCAAATTAAGCCTGTGCCTAGGTGGATTAGTTCACGTGTTTAACAGAGAGCTGTAGTGGTACAAACACCAAGAGGTGTGGGTGTTCAGGACCAAGACTGTGAACTCCTGCACTACAGCTCGGTGATCTTCCTCTGGCCAAGAAATCACAAGCAAATACAGCTGTCTGATGGAAGGAAATGATATCAAACAGTTTCAGATGACTCTTAATATCAGCAATCCTGTCGACACTGCACTGCCCCCCCATCGCTGCAACGGTACAGGTCAAATCCAAAAATGGGTTATAACATACCCACCTTTAGCTCTTTCTCTGAATTTTATAAAAAGGACTTAGTCTTAATGGGACTTCCTGGTTAAATGACAAAGAATCATGAGGAGATCCAAAACAGTGACCCATTGAAAATATAGACTGCTTAGTGATAAAACATATTGATATGATTTACTTTAGAAAACTGACAGTTTTTCAAGGTGGTTCGTTTGTCATTAGAAAATCCCTAAATGAACAGCAGCAAAAAGGCAGTTTGCTCTGTGAGGTGTTGTTTCCTCCCACAGTCCAAAGACTTCTCGGACAATGTGCCCTGGTGTGAGTGTGTATGTTTGTGTCTGTGTGTGCCCTGTGAAGGACTGGTGTCCCATCCAGGGTGTATCCTGCCTTGCTTGCTGCTATAGGCTATGGCACCCCTACTGCCCTGGAAGTTATTGAGTTATCTCAGCAGTTAGAAAATATGGATTTTTTAACCCATATACAGTGTACTTCAGATTTTCATAGCCCTGATGAAATGGAAAAAAACATCATATAACAGAATGAGTTATGGATTAAATAGTTGTTACATTGTAATGGTTGAAAATAAAAAGGCAGATGCACAACTAAAGAAGGCATTAAAATGGACAATAAAGTTAACTTTCTTTGTTCTGTGTCAATAAACGGCCTATATTATTATGCTGGGTACAGTTATTACACAAAAACATTTTATTGGCCATGGTGTAACATTTGAAGGATATTAAGTTCCATCCTATGAAAAGGGATTTTTTTTAAATGCCCTGGTTCAGAACGTTCCAGCAATTATCAGTGTATGTGATCATCTAGCCTGGATCATGCAGTTTTTTAAGGAAGTTGTGGAGTGTATTCATGCAGGGGAAAATTGGCCCTGGTAGGAGTGTGAGTGTTTTTGTGTGGGTGTATCCCATCTCTTGCCTGCTGCTTGCTATGTTAGGCTCTGGCACTGCCTGCACCCCTGTAGTGAATAAAGCAGTTGGAAAATGAATGGATAGATAGATGAATGTGTTGTATATGCAGTAAACTCAAAAGTCTGAGATAAGAAAACTGAGTCTACTGCTTAATGCTCCTTAAAATGTTAATGTCAGCTTTTTCAGCAATGATTCTGTATACAACTGCATGGGGTCCTTTCCTGAGAAAAAGAGTTGGAGGTGAAAAACTCATTATCATGTCATTATGTCATTATAGCAGAAACATGAGATTGAATCTCTATTTGGACACAGAACTATTCAAAAGCAGCAAACAGTAAAATAAAAAGGTCAGGGCAGTTTAGGATTGCACATCATTCATTGAATTGTGTGTGTGTTTGTCACAGTAGGCCTAGCCTATGTTTTTATTGGAGGTTAATGATTTCTGAAAGCAATTTTCGATCACAGTCTGTGTTAGGCAGTAACCAAGTGAAAATCTGTTTCTTATTGAACTGTTCCTGGATTTTCTGGCTTGTTATACAAATATAGCTTCACGTCGCCTACCCATGTTTAAGAGAAGTAACATTCTTTTGTACAGAATGGTCTTCTTCTATACATATAAAGGCTCTGATTTTCTTTATGTACAAATACTGTTGAACATTGAAGATTTAAAATACTTTCAACTATTGCTTGTCATAACTTTTGACAGTGTGAGAAAAAAATCCAAATCACTTCTTGCTGGTAGATTATTGACTAGTGGCACTTCATATTCAACCACGTTCAGAGAGCTGGTCACTCTAGAATCAAACTGTCATGGGCCCAGGTAACACTTTTCTGCTATGTTGAGACTTTAAAGAAGGGTTGGCTCAATGGATGAACAACAGGTAGTTGGTTTCTTTTCATAGCATTCCAATTGAAAGACCACACTTAGTTGATAAGAAGTTGACAAAATCAGGCCAAGCTATAAAAGGTCTGTTCAGGTCTTCTTAGAAGCAGTTATAACCTTATTAATAAAATGCCAAAATTCTTGTAGCTGCACACGTGTATTAGTGAGGTGAACGGTGTTTGTATTTTAGGAAATAATTCTGTTTTGAGTGAGATTCGTATTTTATACCGTTTCATATTTTATCCATGGTATTCAAAGTAATAGAAGAATCGAAGGTTGTTTGAAAGGGTGCTAAAAAAATCTAAAAGGGACTGACTGCATTTTAATCTGCTAGGAGTCTCACAAACTCTTTCTTATTATTTCATGGTTTTATATGTAAAATATGTTTTCTCTTATGTTTTTGGATTGAAATAGTATAGACAAATCTGACCAGCTTTTTTTAAGACAGCTGTTGTAGGAATTCCAGTGCGAGACAGAGGCTATACGCTAAACCATAACAGCTTGAAAAATTGTTAAACGTATAACACCGTTTGAGTTATTGGTTTCTCTAGGAATACGTTACGTGGTGACTGACACAGAAGCCTGGGTTAGTGTTGGGGATTTATTAACAATGGTTGGGACAGGAGGCCCTGTTGCCCTGTTCTCTGTGTGGGACTATGTAGTTTTTGTAGCCATTGTCTTGGGGGCTGCAGCCATTGGACTGTACCAGGCCTTCTCAGGGCGCACTCAGTCCAGCAGCTCGGAGTTTCTGCTGGGGGGACGTCAGATGACTGCAGTGCCTGTTGCCATGTCTCTGACTGCCAGCTTCATGTCTGGCATCACTGTCATTGGCACACCAGCTGAGGCCTACAGATTTGGAGCTGCTTTCTGGCTTTTTGCTTTTGCCTACACCATTATGTCGACCATCACCGCTGAAATCTTCGTGCCCGTCTTCTATCGCCTTGGGATCACTAGCACGTACGAGGTAAGCAGAGTGACACTGCCGTGCTCTCCACAGTCACGACAAGCCAGATAAGAGCTGTGTGGCAGCTAAAGTCCTCTATCAGTGAACAACAGAATATGCTGGGAAGGTCGATAACACATTGTGCCTGTATAGAACACTGAGGAGCTCTTGTTTAACTTCTTGCTGAGTGAACAACAAATCTACAAAAGTTCATTAAAAGAGTAAAATGTTAACAATTTATTTGCTCAGAGGTGTACCTTACATTAATTAATATCCTTCCAGTTTATTTTTTTCCAGGGGGTGGGAAATGTGAAGTTATATTGTTTTTTTATAGATTTTTCATGAATATTTCCTGTCAACAAATTAGCAGCCTGCTGTTTAAAGCAAAAATTAAATGTCATTGTGAGACAGATATAATTATGCAACTTGTCATCTGTAACTAATGATTACTAATTACTTTGGCAGCTGAAGACTTGTTGTTCTTTTGCAGTATTTAGAGATGCGATTCAACAGACTGACACGAATAATTGGTACCACTATGTACATTTTCCAGACTGTGAGTACAAAATACACCCGGAAAAACATAAATAAAATATAAGAACATAGTGTCATTGTGATTCTGTACTTTTAAATTTTATATCTGAATGTTAACAAAGTTATGGAACAAATGAATTTGTGCCTCATTCTCAGCAATTCAAGTCAGAATTCTTTCTCATTTTTACAACTAAGCAAACAGCAATCAATCCTTGAACTGATCTATTATTTTTATAAGTTCTAGATATGCTTAGTTTGCAAATAGCTGAGAATTGTTTGGGAATCTGTCATGGTTTTGAAAAAAAATATTGAAATGACTTTAAGACAGAAAACTATTTTTGTATTTTTCCTCTTTGGGAAATAATCTATTCTTCTTTAATGGAAGCTGCCATAATCAGCCATACTGGTGTATTCCTAAGTGCAGAGTTAGGATCCAATAGAAGACTGTAGCAGTTCTCACAGAAATATTTGAATGCTCACAGACACTCGGCAAAATACAGGTTACAAGTCATGAATACCCTACCAAGTAAAGCCCATTCAAAGTTGGGTGCTTGCCCAGTTGTTGGGGAAATCAGGTCTGTTTGCTAACGATATTACCCTGTCGCACATCAGCAAGACCTAAAGATTAAGCTTGTGCTTACAGTATGTGTTTATTTAACAAGTCACTCAGGGGCAATGTCTGTGTCTATTATTTTGTTTTTAGATGACACATCACAGATGATTCTCATTTGCACTTGATTTTTTAAAAACGTGGAATAAGATCTGCTGTCATGAAGTACAGCTGGCTGATGGAAACAACTAGATCTTTTAAAGCTGTTTTATTTATTTTTTTTGTGTTAAGGGTCTTTTATGAACAAACATTATCAATACTTATTATGAACTAAAGCTTATACCATGAATCCTTTAATGCTTTGATGGTGCTCTAGACTAGAAAGGACATCGATGCCTTTTTTTTTCAGATGCTCCTCTACATGTGTTTTAAGCCTCTTTGGGTTGGATTTAAAATCTGAAAACGTTTTACCTTACCATGATCTTTAAATAATGTGTCCATCTGATGCTTTAATGGAATGTCAAATTCTGATAACTGTTAATATTTAAAGTGAATGATAACCATTTAAGCTTTATACAAAAAGCAGTGTTTAAGACACACACAGTACCTGTGCAAAACACCATAAATATTTATAGTGACCTCTATAGGAGTTACTAAGTCAACACTTGTTCTTTGGTACAAAAATGGTACATAGGTGTTGCACCAGTTCTGGCAGAGCAAAAATACATTTTTTTATTTCCGTCCAACGAAAAAAACAGACTCTGATGGAATGCATTTGTACTGTAACCTAAATTTTGAGATAGTCACACCCAGTCATTTTCAGTGACCACTTTGAATGAAACACAGGAAAATGAACTGTTCTATTGCCAGAAGCTTTCAAAGATCTGTATACATTTGGTAGTTTATGTATGTAAATCGCACTTGCTACACTTAAATATTGTGTAAATATTGTGTTGCACAATCAAATTTGTAAAGGGAGGCCATTTTTAAAAAGTTATAGAAGTAACCATTTATGGTTAGTTATTTTATTACTTTAATTTATTATGTTTATATGATATGGCATGCTTTTTTAATTAAGGGCGAGTAAATATTTTAACTGTTCTGTTTTGCATCATTATCAACCTGAACACTTGACACTACATGAAAACAACAACATTTTACAACACTAAAATATACACAATCACATTGAATGAAGAACTGTTTTTGACACAAGAGCTTGGAGAACCCGAGAATGTTTGTGATTTAACAACACATTTCAAGGTCTAGTTTATAACCTAGTAAGACCAATAGGTCAATAATAAAGCACATTATTTCAATTATCACCAGAACAAAGCAATATGACAGGTTATGTGGTTCATGTTGAATGCTCTTGCTGCCATCTACAGCATGTTTGGGGAAGTGCGTATTGTACTGGTCAACAGATAAGACTCCTGCAGAATGTGGCCTCAGGAAAACAGGAAGATGTTTAGGGTACAAATAGTTTATGTCATAGCAATTGTAACTTTTTCTTCATGAAGTCTGGGTAACCAAGCAACTTTATACAAAACACCTGAACTTGAACAGATGGGGCGTTAAAACCATAAAAACTGGGATTCTGTGTCAAACAAGATAGGGTGATCTGATCCTCATATTGGAAAACCCTTTTTAAATTCAAAATCTTTTGCCTTTTGGACCACAGACACCAGCAGTTAAAACCATGCAAAGTTTGTTCCTGAAAAGAGTTTTAACATGGACTTTTATACAATTGCTCCTGCTCAAAATCTGTCTGTCCAATAAGCTTTCGACTTTGCAGGAACAGAGTTAGAATCAACAGTATGAATATCCTCTTTGTGAAAATAGGTTTCTTTGTCTTAAACCAAGATGGCTGTCTAACCACACTAACTTTCTCTTCATTGTTGATATTTGGGTTGTAACACTTACTCCTGTCTGTTTTAAAACTGTATGGCCAATTTACTCTGAAGTTAATGGTGATAAATAGCATTCTAGTAAAAATATCATTAACGTTCAATATGTTGTTCCTGTGAATGCTAAGAAGGCTGGCTAATCAACACGTTATTAGCACAAATCAAACTGCCTTTGTCTTGGGATATGGCTGATTTAAATAAAAACATAATTACTTAATTCTTGTCAAATTAATCCACAGCCCTGTCTTGAAGTAAATTTTAATCAGAAAAAAACAGACAACTGGATTAACTGGTATGTGCAAGAACTTACATTGATTTATTCCTTTACAGGCACTGTACACGGGAATGGCGATTTATGCTCCAGCACTTGCTTTGGAACAAAGTGAGTTCTACTGACAACTATTTAATTGGTTGACTAAAGATCTACCTCAGTTAAAGCAATAGCAGTCCGGGATATGGACAAAGCAGCTATGTCTTATTATTAATTACCACCTCCATTAGGACAACAGATCAACATTTTACAATTTACAGAAGGACCAAGTTCAATTTACTGAAGTAATAGATTTTGTGTTCACAGGATGCTATGCTATGGGAAGGTCAAAATGTAACTGAATACTGCTGGGAAAAGAGAAATACAACCTTAAAATAATCATATTTTTCAATAACATGTAATTTTATAAGTTATAAGCATTACATATGTCATTCAAAAAAGGGAGCTGTGGTGATATTCCTTTTATTCAGTCAAACACCATTTCAGCAGTCAGGTAGGTCCTAATGAATGCAAAGTAGAGTGCATTTGGCATCACTCCCTCAGCTGAGAGAATGGCTTTCTAGTTGTGTGCATAGGCTACCCAAATTACCCCTCTCTAGACAGCTGCTGTGAGGGTGTAGATGACAGGCAGGAGCGATGTGAGAGAGATATTCAAAGGAACATTCAAAGGAACAGGTGCGAGATTCTAACCTTCCTCCTGAAAATCATTTGTTCTGTTATAATTACATTTAGTGTGAATAATCCAACTATTTTCTCATCCTTATTTCACATTTTATTTTTATGTTATCTTTAACATTGTAACAAGACACTTTAACCTTCCTCACTAGTCAGAGAAATTTGCAGTTAAACTGATCAGTGCTTACACCGGCAACCCACTCTGCCTTTCAGTCACAGGACTTAATCTGTGGGGAGTGCTGGTTGCCACAGGAACAGTCTGCATCATCTACTGCACACTGGTAAGTATGATCGACTGTCAGCATCAGACATCACCCTATAACAGTACATCTACTCTCAACAGCTGTTGTCAAGGGTTATCCATAAAACAGAAAGATCTATTATGCCAGCAATAGTTAGTAATATTATTTTACATAATCAGATCACAAATATCCTTAGGACCAGACTTTTCTTTGGTGTAGCTCTCTCGGTGGCTCCCGCTATGCCCACATGATCTGAGTGCACTGGAACAATATTAGCTCAGCTTTGTCATTGGGCTGAAACTATTCAGTTGCATAAGCATCTCGTTCAATCCCTCTGGGAATTTCACAGGACCGGCGTGTCTGTGAAACAAATACAACTCACTGTAAGCCATGGGTCTTAGCCAAAAATACTGAAATGCAATAGTGGAAGCAATTCCACTTTAACAAATGATAATGTAGGTCTGGAATATCATCAAAGCCAAAGCTTTACCAGCAACGGCCAACTTATTCCTTTTCTATTTAAGTGGATTTTAGGCTTTCACTCTTCTAAAAAGCAAGCGATTCCAGCACCACCACAGAATCAGAATGCATTGGGAAGATGGTCATCTGTAATCCCCCCTGGTTCTGCAGGGAGGCCTGAAGGCAGTGATCTGGACTGACGTCTTTCAGATGGTCGTCATGCTGGCGGGGTTTGTAGCGGTCATTGCCAGAGGCATGGTCGTCACAGGAGGCCTGCACAAGATCTGGAATGACTCATACAACGGGGGTCGGCTGAATGCATGGGAGTAAGTGCTGTAGGGGAAAAACATTAAGCATTCCCTGCAGCCTGCCGCCGAACGAAGGAGAAAGAAGCACCTCGCCCTCAGGCTGTCAGACAGTCCCTACTCCTGCATGAATACACTCCACAAGTTCCTTAGAAACTGCAGGAATCAGACAAGATGATCATGTACCTTTAGTGACATGCCTTAAGCTTCGTGATAAATGATTAGTTCTGGGATGCTTTAAGACAGGACATTTAAAAATGAACATCCATTAAATGTTACATCATGGCCAAATAAAATATGTTTGCTTAATAGCTGTGGCCAGCATAAACTGTAAGCTATTACAGTATGTTTAAGCTATTTTAATGTCTTCTATGTTAGTACATTTGCACTTATTTAAAATACTTTGACCATTACAATGTGATAACTATTCAAAAATATATACTGTAATTCATTTCTTTAAATGCAAGGTATATTGTCCAATCCATAACTCATTCTGTTATATTCTCTTAATTAGGGCTATACAAATCTGAAGTGCATTGTATATGGGGTAAATAAATCCATCCATTTTCTGACTGCTCAAATAATTGGATAACTTCCAGTTCAGGGCTGAGGTGGAGCCAGAGGCTATAGCAGCAAACAGCAGGTTCTAGGCAGGATTAATTCTGGACAGAATGCCAGTCCATCACAGGGCAGACAGACACACACTCACATCAGGGCCAATTTCCCACAAGCCAATTAACCTGTCTCTCTTCTCGAATGTGACAGCTTTGATCCCGACCCTTTGAAGCGCCACACTTTCTGGACAATTGTAGTTGGTGGAAGCCTGATGTGGACCTCCATGTATGCTATCAACCAGTCCCAGGTGCAGAGGTACATCTCTTGTCAGACCATGGTCCACGCCAAATTGTAAGTACCCCAAATCAGTACTGAAAAACAGGATATACTCTACAAACTAGAGTTGATATGATGACTGCACCTTGAATGCAGAAAATTACATCTGTACTGAATAGTTTTCTAAACGTAGTCATAATTCGATTGTTTTTAAATGGTTTTTAGAAATTATTTACCTTTGTTTGCCAGAAATTCAACAGTGTCTCCAACAAGCTTGTGTATAACAGGGAGACAAGTGGTGTATGTTGCTTCTTCACAGACCTACTGTAGCTGTTCAGTTCTGTGCCAGAATTCTGTACATATCCCTGTGAAGGGCAGTTTCTTCAGATGGTTCATCCTTGAAATTGTCTATACCTGGATATTGTACCGCATAACCTAATGCAAAACACTGAGGAAACCATGACTGATTAAGCTCATCAAACCCTGGTGAACAGATATACATTGCTTTATAGCAAATTCTGGACACAGCTGGCTAATTATACTGTATATCCCAGTGATGTATGGACTATAGGACCCAATTTACAGTACATACTGATCAAACATCTTTAGTAGAGGTTGTGCACCTGTTTCAGTATTATCCTATTTGATCTTATTCAGTGCCAGTATCAAATCTGAAAATCATTGATGGTATTAATCAAAGACATTTCTGTAGGGATGGAGTGTAAAAAGGAGTTTTTAATCTCCTGTGTGTTTTCTCATCCAGATCATTGTACGTGAACATGGTTGGGCTGTGGGTCACTGTGACCCTGGCAATGATATCTGGTCTCACCATGTACTCAATTTACAAGAACTGTGACCCACTCACCAACGGAGATATAGGGGCACCTGATCAGGTAGCCTTCACAACACTAAAGATTTGTTTGTTCAGCATCTCACCCTCAGATATTAAATTATCTGCATTGCAGCACTGGATCAAACATTGACACACTTGATCACCTTATCACGATCACTTACTGTAGATTCCCAACTTATTTTATTCAATAGTCTATGATGAAGTTTTTGTTTTGCCTAAGAGTGCAAGAGCTGAAGCCCATGGATAGTCATGGAAATATTATACATTTCACTCAAAAACGAAGAAGCGGATCAGTAAGCTGTTGCCTTCTCAAAACTTGCTTACATATCATGCTTCCTGACACGCAAGGACAGCATTCTCTATTCAGTGTGAAAAGGGATGTCTGAATGACTCTCCTTAGTGCAGACCTGTAACATTGCTAAAAGGCTGATTTTTCCAGCTGATCTGAAGGGAATTATCTGCTTTAAGGATCTTTACAATTAAATATTAAGCACTATGGGTCATCTCACACAACAATGAGTACAATCTGTTTTTTTAGTATATCTTTAAACACCTGGGATTTATTGTCTTGTCCCCTGTTAGCTGCTCCCCTACTTGGTAATGGACATCTTGGCCGATTTCCCAGGTGTGCCTGGACTTTTTGTGGCAGCAGCGTACAGCGGTACCCTCAGGTGAGAGACTGCGGGCCCCTCTGGGTCTCTTTACAAAGAGCACATTAGATATTCACCTAATGTGGAACTCTTTAAGTCTTCACTCAAAGGGTTCGGTTGTAAATATAGATATCACACATGTACTGTATACAGTAGGAAGCAGTATTTCTTAGAAAGTAATTTCTTAGAAATAAGGATGTAAATTAATAACTACTGTATATAAGGTATACAGAGTTCTTGAAAGTCTAAGAGTGAACTCCACTGATCATTCACAAATTTGGTTAAAGTTAAAATGATTTAAGCAATTATTAGTAGAAGGAAACATAGAATACCCTTTACTAGGAATCTAGGGCAGAAGAATTGGAATTAGACACGCCCACTACATGGGGTATGCGGAGGTGTAAGTGCCACTGTATATTTGATTGCAAGTGAATTCATTTTTAAAAATATTATCTAAATTCCCCCCCGAAGGTTTCATGTTGAAATTCACTGCAGGCACTTTGCTCCCCTGTTTCATATAGCACAGTGTCATCCAGCATTAATGCTCTTGTGGCTGTCACTGTGGAAGACTTCATCAAAGCGCTCTGGCCCAGGACCTCCGAGAAGCTGCTGTTCTGGATCTCCATGGGTCTGAGTGAGTGCCTCTGTGCCACACCTGCACATTTGCCTTTAGCCATCTCAAACAATCTTCAGCTTCTTTCACTTTGGTACTTTTTTGCTCACACCGCTCTCTGGTCCTATCCTTTAATTTCACCCCTGAGCTGATCACTATTCCTGATTGTCTGTTGTCAAAAGACACAATTGGTTCAGATCCAACAATACCATTAGTCATCTTCCCGTGACTATATCCACTCACAAAACAAGTCATTACCCAAAACACTAAATTGTGATTAAAGTATACACCGACACTTGGAAATGCTTTTCTATTCCTTATTTTTCTGTCATTTGTTCTTACTAGGCTACTTGCCTATTCTTCTGAGACCATCTTGAGTGACTTTTGAAGTTCTAATGCCCTATGAAAATCATGTATTTGTTACGCCACACACCCGGAGGACTCTGCATTCCACCTCGCATTCCAGTACTGTTCCCAATTAGCCCATTTACCCCGCCTATTTAATGGCACTTCACACTCTCCACTGTGCTCAGTATTAGGGTTTTTCCTGGCTAGAGCTACTGTTCTCTGTCTCTCGTTTAAGAATTACTACTTGGTTTTTGGCTTTGTTCTCACTACGACTACGTCTCCTGATATTGGTTTTGGTATTAGTACTCATTCTGGTTTAGACTCTCGGCTTCCTCACAGCTTATGGCTCCACTTCTGGTTTTTGTACTTTTGCACCGGCTTGTTTATCTTCGGCTTTCGGACCTCGGATTGTTCTACCGACTACGCCTTTGGAGATCGCCCTGGTTCTCTGCATAAGGTCCTCACTACTTTTCCTAACAGTATTTCCATTATTAAAACTGGTAGAAAACCATGGGGCCATGAAGATTAGTTTACTTTCCTGCTTCTCGTAATGGTTAGCATTTTTGCCTCTTATTTAAAAAAAAATTAACATTAAAACATCAAAATTCTTTCTTTCCTCAGGCAGAGACATGTTATAGATTTATTCCTTGTTGAACATCCAAGTTAAATTAAATATCTGTCACTTTCCTCTCATCATCAAAAAAGGTCTTATTTCAGTTAATCCTACCAAACAGGGCTGTTTCATATACCGAGCTGTGCTGCACATTGGAATTCAGCTGGGTCATCACAGCAACCAGGATTCCTCAAGCTGTGGAAAAAAGTAGTAACCCCTCCTGCCCCCCAGTTTAGTGGTCTCAACTTTTTTTTAACTTTCCCAATCGTAGAATGATCTGTAGCTTTCTTTTTTTATTTTCCACTGTTAATGAGAACTAAAGTTAACCAGATAATCCTGTTTGGCCAGGGATGCTTCTTGAACTACAAAACTAGTACAAATACCCCTGACAGTAGCAGTCAGTTTATACTTTCTAGAAAATGTTCCCTATAAGGCTGAACCTTTTACTATTTCGCCACAAGATTTTACCAGTCTATCCCAAAACCAGAATAAACTACCTTTGTTCTTTGTTAACCTCTTTTATAGAAGGAAATCAGCTTGCAGCCAGCTGGAGTTAAATCTTTTGTAACTTCATAAACAATGGAGAACCTTATTTAGCTTTTTCTATATCTGCATTCTCTCTAAACTACCCTCTACCAGCCTTACAGATGCAGCCATTCAAAGTGCGCGGTACAGACACGTACCGGAGGTAATTGGCTACGGCGTCGCGCATCGTGACGCAAGATGACGCGGGGTCTGTCGTAGAAAGATTTACAGTTAACGTCTTTACTGTGCCCGTTGTAGTATTGAATATTCATATGGAATTTTACCACTGAAGGGAAATCTTAGTGCCTGAGCATAAAAAGAATAGGAG